ACCATCAGAGTTTAATGGTCTGATCAGGCTACAGATTAACTCACACCTACAGTACTCTTACTGGTCCCGTAAATATGCATTGTGTTTCATTTTGGACAGAAAAGTGCATTTCTATGTGCTATCTATAACCGTTTGGGGACATTCACATCTCAAACTATTGAACTCATATCTACCTATATAAATTGTCTGCTCTGATAAAAGCCTAACTGGTCAAACCATGAAGATAAAGGATTTTGACTTTAAAAGCAGTTGTGTCTGAGATCTTTTTTTCCCTTTAAAATTGAGCTTCCTGAAGAGCACCTGACTCGCTTATCCAACCTACAGCAGCGCTCACTCTCCCTCTTATCTATCTATACAAAAGTATTTAATGCTTGCTGTTTCAAAATCCAATAAAATATATTGAACGTATGAATAGGGGGGAGGGCATCCTAACCCTAACCCTAGGGTGGCAGATTCAGGGAACTGCCCAATGACAGTTTCCTTCCCACTGAAATTGACACAAGGGAGGTCCCTCTTTCAAGACCATCACCATGTCTCGTGTCTCTGGAGACGGTTGCCAGGTGGGTAATTGGAGGAAGGCTCTTTCTTCATTATTGATGATCACGCTGAGGAAAAAATCAGATGCCCAAGATTTTCAGAATATTTAAAATCCATTATAAATCCTATTATCTCTGAGGTACATCATTTTGCTGTCAATAAAATGAGGATTATTCAGTCATATAAATATATTAGGAGCATGGGGAGCTGGGGAGCATAGCAGCAGGAGGTTGATAACACCCCTCCCTCTGTTCCTCCTATCACTTTTCATGTGCTCTCATTGCCAATGCAATCTTTTCGCAATCAGATATTCTTGTGCATGTTTTTAGCATGCCAGGGCATATCATGGTGTTCGAGCATGTGAGATTCAAAGTGTACAATTTAGGATGTCAGTGAAGACCTTCCATCTTTCCTATTTCATAAGTATACTGAGAAAGTAATCAATCTCCAGCTGTGTCTGTGTGCATATGGATCTGCTCCATATATGGTGTTGTATGATTAAAATTCTGTTCCACAGGCATTTCAGGGCTGTATGGTAATGTATATCACACAATGGCAGAGTTACCAGAGAAAAAACGTAAGATATACTGTACAAGATTGTGACAATAGCCATAGATACAAACATATTGTGGGTTTTATTTTTTACTGTTGCTGCCCTGGGGTTCAATGACAGAAACAAGGCAACCAGTATGTACCATTGGTCCCTCCGACAACCAACAGCCATTCACACACACCAGACTCATTCTTGGGAATGTGGGTGAAGTGTCCTGCCACACAACTCACTGTGGCACCAGGTGAGGTCTCCCAACACAGTATTTGCATGCAAGTATGGCCAAAAATAAGTTGAATGATGCAGTAGAATCTGAAAGTTTTAAAACTTATATTGCGGTGCCCACAGTGGTGCAGGCCTGGGGTCAGAGCTTGTATGCCTGTTGCCTGGTGGCCTGGCCTTTGCCCATTGGGTTAGAGAGGGGATAGGTTAGAGGGGTAGACATGGAATTTGAAATTTAGTGTTAGGGATTTATTTATTAAAACATACAATATGCATGTAGATGCGAGAATTACTTTCTGATGTGCCTGGCAAGAAACAAGTTATAAAAAATACAAAACACTTTTAACTGATAACAAGATACAAAAAAACATGATTGTGTTTATTCGCCTTCATGGATCTGGTTCCTCTTAAACCTCTGTTTGAGGCAGGTTGTGAGTTCAGATTAAGGTGAAGATTAATAGATCTTTTATTCGTCCCACACTGGGGAGATTTCAGTGTTGCATCACCAGTTACAGAACAGAATCAATAGCCACAGCAAAGGGTAAGCGAACTACTAACAAAAAATAAAACCTGTAACTTTAGCGTATTAACAAAGCAAATCAAACATCTCTGACTTTAACATAATAGAGAAGCGATTATGAAACACTATACTGTATTCTAGTGCAAGAAAGATATAGTTGTAAAGGCAAAGGTAAAAGTGCAGGTAAAATCAGGAGCAGTGATCGTTGTAGTACAGTGCCCGGGATCTCCGGATGTTGATGCTCGGCTTTGTCAGGACTACCGGAGCAGGAAGATTTGACCTATCGTGCATGTTTTTAGTGGTAGGGTAAACCGGTGCAGCCAGGGAAAAACTCCACTCAGAAACACCCTGTTCTGACTGTTCTGAGTCTCTTACTCCCAGAATGACAGCTCCTGTTGGCTGAAGGCAGTGCATCTCAGAGGAACTTAACACTCCCCTTGAGTCCATGCTCTGGTCTCTCTTGTACTTTTTTATAAAAATATAAATTTATAAATTTTATAAATTAATTCAACAGTGGAAGAAAAAGCCTTATGTCAGCCACTTTTTTGGCTGACATTTTTATACCTCAAAACTTGTTTTGGTTGTATATTGAATTACATGGCAGGGATGAAACTAGTACGAGAGACTGTTGCCTCAAAAACCATGGCAATAAAGTGATAAAAATGGATATGTGCTTCATTTTAAACATAATTCCTAATCTAAAAACATTAGAAACAAATATACACTCCTGGAATGCAATTCTCCACCAGCAGGAAGTTTGCACTTAAGTTTTATTCCTTTGCACTTAAGTTTGTGATTACTCAACGAGTTTACCTTTTTTATCTTCCTAAATCTGTGATTTTAAGTATTATCTTTTAATTTAATCTTACTTTTATTGGGAATGTGATGTATTAGTTATTTTCCACCAGAGAAGGGGAAGTGATATTTCCCATGGCAACACACTGTTTACGTTAGCTGTTAGCATTCGGTTGACTTTCAACTATTTGTTGCTGTATTTTAAGTTATATTCACCAGTTTTTGCACTTAAATGAGCAAAGGTAAGACAGGTTTTTATTAGATTTCCATTGGCTTGAATTGGAGCAGTCAAAATGACAGCCCAGGGAGGTCTGGAAGTTTCAGAATTCTGAGAGTCCGAGTGTTAAAAAATCTTCCTCATAACAGTGTGACAGTGAAAAAAGAGTCACAATTCTCTGTTTATCATTGGAATGAAAGCAGAAACACATGGGTTATAAAGACAGAAGCTCCTCAAAACAGTTCAATACAAAGTCCACATTTGCATAAAACATTGTCCCTCGTTACAGGAAGATGTGTTTTTCTCCTTGCTGTGTCTTCCCTCCTCTCTTATCTCACATTCCTCGGGCCAAGGCCATCATAATAAATCTGGACTCTACAACAATTTCACACTCTTTCAGTCAGTTCCAGCTTGGATCCCGCTCCCCCCGCCTCCCTCTGATCTCTCCCTCCCCTCCCCTCCTCACTGTGTTTCCGGCTCACCCCCTCCCTGACCCCGCCCCCCTCTGACAGCCACATTGGGCCGGCTGCGGAAGGTGCTCATCCCGAAAAAAAATCCGTGGTTTATAAAAAGCACAATGTTTTCTATCCAACTGTCTGTTGTAACCTGTATGTTATTGCTCTCTGCTGTTTATTCTACTGTTTGTCGCATGGCGCCGGAAAGATGGCGCCGTGGCAAGAGCTCTGGTGTGTGTCGTCTCTGTCTGGCGCACACCGGGGTAGTCTTGCACAGTTTTTCCAATGTGGTTTTACTGCAAATGGCAAATAAATGAATCTGATCTGATCTGAATCTGACATTTACGCATCACTGTGGCTGCATCTGCATGTTGGTTTGACAAAGAACCAAAAGAACACACTCCTGCAGGATCCTCATGTCAATGTCAGTGGTTTGATAAACACAAAGAAGTCCATGTGACGACCGCCTCGTGCACAGCTCTGCCATCAAACTTCAATTACTTATAAGGTTTATTTTAAAAGCTCTCATGAATGTCTGGCTGCTCACTCTGACGAAGGGTCAGGAGGATGTGGCGTCACAGAAACATTTATTCTGCATTCAGTCTTCAAACTTCAGTATTAACAAACTAAACAATGTGATATTTCATTAATCTTAGTAACTCAAGTAACACACATTTTCTTGAAGCATGGTCATTGTGAGTCAACTTTTTAACAGAAACATTCCCATGGATTTCCATTAAATTTAGGGATTTTCTACATCGCCAATAAAGAGTGTAATTCATTTTTAAACTTCACAATGTCATTTGATCATTATTATACATAAGTGTGTCACATTTACAAGTGTAAATGACCTTTTCTCAAAGGTCATTATTACAGACGGTAATATTGTTATATGCATGTATTACATATTTATTCCTGTTACAATTAGAATATACATGATCATGTTAAATCCCAACACATATAACAGGGAGACACTCCAAACGTGTGCTGAGTATACGCAATAGAGTTAAACATGCAACAATAGAGGAATACACTTTTATTCGACCAGTGATGAAAGGCTTCATCGGGTTTCAATCTCATAAACCTAATTTATTCTATTTCCCGTTTTCACCATCAAATAAACCCACAGTCACACAGAGGCGCCGCGTTTCTAACTGTACAGTAACACTTCTTTACAAACAGCACAGGATCTTTATCAACTCTCCTCTGGCTCGCCTCAATCCCCTCCTTCTTCTTTCTTCTCCCTTTGCTTCTCTGCCCCTTCTCACCACTCCACTCCTCTCCACTCGCCTCTCCGTGCGCTTCGCTGCTGCTGGAATAAATTAACTCTGGGTTTGCTGCTGCTGCTGTGGTGGTGTTGGTGTTGAGAGCCAGGGAGAGGAGAGGCAGCGCGCAACCATTCACACACTCAGTTCGCCGAGAGTCCGCGAACAGAAAGCATCCCTCCTCTCTCCTCCTCCACTGTCTCTGCTCTCCATCCATCCATCCATCCCCGCGTCTACTAAAGCGCGCACCCGTTCCCAGGACTTCTGGCTGGATTTTACATTTTTTTACGCGTAGGAGAAAACAGGAGTTAATCCCGGACAGGTGGAGTGCATTTGCGGTATTTTGGTCGGACGCCCCTTTCACTGTTTCTTTACTGCTCTGGGGTTTTGAATGGAAAGCAAAACCATCCAAAGACAAGAATAGTTTCGTGGCTCCTCCATGACGCGCGTCCGTCTCAGTTCCACGTCCACTCGCAGGATTGTACGGGCACTTCTTCGGACGCGCAACGGACCAGAGCACTTTGAGAAAACGGTCAGTAACATTGATTTGTTTAAGGCTTGCATGACACAATACGCAAATAAATACAAATGTAGTAAAAAGGTTCTATCTGTAACTTCATATGGACTGGTGTTATTGTACGTGCGCCCGCGTCTCCTCTCTGCGTCTTTTTGCAGCACACTTTCTCCAATGTGGTCCCATCCAGCGCATAAAGGATTGCAATATTTCAATCTAATGTCTATTTCCATATCTCTGCAGCTTTTATTAATTCATTGAATGCAGTCATTATTTCAGTGGATGCAATGGGAAACTGCCAGTTTAATCTTTCCTTGAATAAAACATACTTATAATGTCTAAAAAGTCAATCGCACAAGTCAAACCCTGTATTATAATCGTATTCAAAATATCACCACGAGGCATTCATGTTGTATAACTCTACTATCTACTGTATGTGATTCAGCTGGCACAGGCTACAGCTGGCATCGCAAAATATTATAATGAAGGGAATTACACTCTGAATATTTATTATACGTCAACAAGTCTTAGTAGTGATTCTACTGTGAAGAATAATGTGTGATAGCATTAGTTTTCCACATAACAAGAGAACATTTGCAAAAACAGATAGAAAATGTGTTAAAAAATGTATTTCCTTCAACTTGTTTTGTCATTGGAAGTGAGTAGAAAGGGCTAGTGAGGGGTGATTATAATAGATTTGGCTTTTCGACAAACGAATAGAAAAAACGTTATAAAGGGCAAATTTTACGCCTTTCAAATATGTTTCTATTGGCACTTATCTGTTTTTGCAAATGAACTATTGTTACGGTATTTTAGCCACACATACATGTATCATTCATTCAGTCTTTTTAAGGTTTCTATTGTTAAAAGCATCAGTTTTCCATATCTACTTTTCATCCAATGTTCTTGTTGAATTCAAAAGACTACTCTTCTCTAATTCCTATTGTACATCATGGGGGGTGTCCATCATAGGCATGTGTGTAAAAAAAAAAAAGATTATCAACCATGAACATTGGAGCAAACCAAATTATCATGCTGAACGAATTGAACCGCTAAAATCGTTTGTGTTTTCTGTGCAGTTTTATATCTGGATTGATAAAACATACCTCTGTTTGTTTGGGCCATGACAGCTCATAATTTCAATCCTAACAATAGAACTAGCTAGAACTGCAAATATTTCTTGACATAACCCTTTGAAGAATATATACACACATGTATGATTAAAAATTGAATGTCTGAATCGAGAATACCATCGCACTAATTGCATTGGCTCCCAGAGATGAAAGTACATTGAAAAAAAAATATATATATATATATAAACAATGACAATGAAGTTAATGCATTCATTGAGAAAGCATAATGTTATCTCTACATTGTCTAGACCTGGAATGACAAGACTGAATTTTAAATAACTCGCAATAGACATCCTTTTTAGCAGCAAAATTAAATCTTTTCTATTTATTCCTATAGGTCCTAATTATCTGTCTGTGTCTATTCTATTACTGAACTCCATAATCTACCATATATGCACACACAAAGCTTGTCACATATACTTTTCCAGCAATGAATCATTTTATGAATATTTATGGGTTTAATTTCCCTCACAGTTATTGTATGCCTCACACATTTGAAACCAAAACCCCTTAGAGCACACACATACACAGACAAAATCCCCAAAAAAAGCATGTATCAGCTCACCACAGTCTTTCTCCATGACCCGTACGATCGCCGTAACAATATCTTATGTCACAATCCTGATGGCAACTTGTAAAACTCCTCAGGTGTCATTTCTCTTTCGGGTTTCTGCCGAATATCTGCGCGGTGTTGTCCTTCACGGGTGCACAGAGCGCTCCTGTTCACTCACGCTTGGAATTCGAGCCATGCCCAGAGCCAAATGACACTTTGATGGTCTGCACGGCCACTTTCTTTTCATCTATTTTAATGCCATGCCAAGACTGCACACTGCCCCTCCTCTCTCCATCCCTATGCACGCTCCCAGCATTGCCCGAGTAATGGAATCCTCTATCAAAAGTGGTAATTATCATAGCGTAGCCTCTGTATCCTGTGGAAATCTGATGTTAGGGCTGGACTCTTTTGAGGGGTAGCATTGAGATAGATTTTAGTTTTCCTATGCATTTCAGAGCATGGGATGGAACAAGGTATGATTGTTATGGCAGGGGGGTGAATCAATATGGTGATTTAAAATGAGAAAGTCTTTCAATAAGTTCATAGGGAATTGTCACAGTTAGTCACAGTTACAGTATTTTGGCCTGAAATTGTAAAGCTGTGTTTCATACCGAGCAAAGGGTCCCTGGTTTATCAACTCAGGTTCAAAAGGTGGTTGTGTCTAAATATTGGATGTTGAAACCATTATAAGGAAAACAATGATACAACTGAAATGGAAGTGGATTTCTTCTCCTCTATTTTTTAAATTTCTATTTCTGATGATATTTAATGTGATATTTATTTCATGACATATTCAGATTTAGATTCATTTATTTGCCATTTGCAGTAAAACCACATTGGAACAACTGTGCAAGACTACCTCAGTGTTGATGTAACCCAGGTAGAAAACCCTGTGAGTTTATTCCCTTCTTAGATCAAATAAAAAAAAAGTGTTATATTGATAATTGTATTGAGCATTGTAATAATTAGTATTATATTGAATTGAATGCATCTCCGCGTCACGTGACTGTGCGCTATACTCTCATTGGCTTATATGCCGGCAGTAGCACACACACCGGTAACGCGAGGTTGAAGCTGGGAGGGTGAATTGCTGCAGGTAGGGTTTGTAGAATTCTTTCTAAAATTATTTTAAAACGCTGGATTGGTTTAACATGTGTGGCAATCGGATGCTTAGGAGCCGAGGACTGGGTCCGTGCTACTTCTCAGAGCGAGTAAGGCAGAAGTTCGGGACTAGGTGAGTGCTTGTTGTTAGCATGTTAGCACCATACAAACCAATGGAGGCTAAGCGCTAGCGCTAATGCTAATCGGGGGAGATCTCTTTTAGAGTCGATCCTATTACTTTTCTCACATATTGGACCATGTCATGCGGTTCTGTTCATGTGTAGTGTGTTGTGTATATGTAACCCCTAACGGGCTATTCTGTGGGTGCACTTTGGTGGCGGTTTTTAGCCAGTTATACCAACATTTGTACTGCACTTCTCTGCATTTGTAAGCACCAGCACTGCTCTTGTGTTTATCAATCAATAGACACTATTTTAAGAATTTTTATATCAATGTATTTGACAAATGATAATTGGAAGCACTGATTATTTATTTTGTGTGATATAGATGCTGATTATTTAAAGATTATGTCCTTGAATTATTGGACTAGATACTTTGATGTGCACATGATTTATGGTTGGTCCTGTTGTATACACAGGCCTTGTCAGATGGCGAGCTAGAGACCTGAACTATTGGAGTCATCATCTCGCTTAACTCCACTGGGCTCTCCACAAGGGGTCCACATTGTCCTCTTGGGACTCAGGAGTCAGCGGAACTTCATCTGCTCTGAGCAGGACGGGTAGGAGGCTCCTGCAGCCGCCTTCTTTAATTTTCATAACCTCAACTCTTCCTCTGGTGCCTCGGTCCGTGGCGACCGCGTCCAACCGTGTTCCGCGCTGTGTGGAATATTTTCGCTCTCAGGGAAATAAGCACTGAATGGACTATTGGAATACCGCTTGAACTTTTGTTGCATTTGTGACTTTTGTTGCATTGGAACTGGACTTTGTATATATCGTATGGCCATTCACTGGGGTTGGGTTGTGGGGTAAATGTTCTCTGTGTCCTTGTCTTATGTGTGTGCAATATATGGTACCAACAAAACCCAAAAGACTGTCTTGTGTATGTTTCACTCACTCCCAGAGCCGATACCCAGCTCTTCTGATCTAGCCAATTGATGTTCTCTTGTTGAAAAAAAAGTCTAGTTAACCCAGGGACCGGTTACATTAACAATATATATTTTTTTTAATTTGTTAAGCCCTAAATCACAACATAGTCTTAGTCAACAACGGATCAGAAAATCCGCACATTTAGTAATCAATTAATAATTTTTGAACCTCACATATAGGTTTTATGACTTAAATCATGTCATGACAGCTGAAATTTGGTCAAATGTATAAAAATGTGACATATTATCTGACATTTAGGGATCTAAAAAGCTAATCAGTTAATCCAAAGAATAGAATAATTAGCAAATACTTAATATGAAAAAAAAATGTTGTTTATTTACCTAATTATTAATCAAAAAAGACATTTGAACAAGATATGTCTGACAGTTATAGCCTTTATTACACAGACACATATAACTTCATTTTTGTTTCATATATGTGAGCTTTTACATCCTGAGAGCTGATTGGCTGAGTGAGGGCTGGTACTCAGCTTTTCACTGTAAAAGCTGATTTAAAGATGTGACAGAGGTACAAATACAAGTGAAAATGTAGTTACAAGTATTATATAGATAAATATTTGTGTTCTCAAAGTTAGGTACTCCAGCTTTAATGCATAATAGACGGTTGCTTGTTGCAGTCAGCTCCAGACCTCAGAAAACAAATTCTAAGCCAGAAATATTGCTGCATATTGCTTGCTTGATTCCTTCTGTGGGTGTGGTCACAAAGTTGGTGATGCTGTTTTTAGAAAAGACAAGATGATCCGCACAATTCTCTATTTTTAGTTTATCGTCAATTACAGACATAACCTTGGGACTCTCAAGTGGGAAAGCAAGGAACAAAGCAGATGTGACAAAAACCCAAAGTGTGTAAAAGTAGGTGATTTTCTCCAGGATGCAAGTGTGACCCCTCAGAACTTTGGTTTGAGCTGCAAAGATGAAACCACTCTTTGTAGATTGGATGCTTTTGTATTAGAGCTCTGGAACAACAACACAAGCCCAAAGAGGTGGACGAATAAGGCCAAGGGATGGTGGAAACAGGGCTTTTGGTAGCTTGCTGCTCCTCTTCATAGCCAACATCACACAGATCTTTATCAACATGAATTACAGAACATTTTCACTCAACATACAAAACATATGTCAGATAGACCTGTGAATAGTTCAAGTAACATTTAGAAACACTATACATAAACTGAATGTTTAACTGAACTGAAAGTCGAATAAGAAGACCAGGGGAAGCGCAGCAGGGCGTTGCCGAGGTAACCGCCTGTGCTAGTAACCAGTAGATAGATAGATAGATCGATACTTTATTGATCCCCCATCTGAGATAGCCAGGTGTCCACACACATCCATATAAACTAACATTTCTAACTAACTACCAAATAATAGTGCATATTTTTAAACTAAGGCATAGGTGAGTATTTCATCATTTTAAACATTAAAATAAACCAATTTTGATGACATTCAATCCATAAATGCAAGGATCAGCATTCACTCTCCTATATTTACACATCATCAAATATACACATGTGACATATGTTCTAAAGCAAACACATTTAGAATGGAATGCCTTTTCTGATCAGTGTGAACACATGTGATGTATGTAGATTATAGAAACAAGAAAGGACAGAATTCCTTGTTTTACAGCAAATTATGAAAACAATGACAAACAATCTGTTATGGTTAAAGTGATGAAAGTTATGAAGATGAAAAACCTACATAAGCCGAGTTATTACACTTCCAAAACGAAAAGCCGTCAAATATTCTGCTTTAGGAATTCTAGTGTTAATATGCCTTTTTTTTTTTTAGAACACATTAAACTGATTCTAATCTAAGCGTTCTGTATGTATGTTCTGCCAATGAAATATTGAATCAATATTTCTCACTCCAATTATAGCTTTTAATGGAACATTTAAAACTCTACTCAAACAAGATTTTTGATTGTTGGACACGCATTCATTGAGAAAATCTTAGCTAACATTTAACACTTAAAAATCGTGATCATTCGGTGGCATATTTCATTGACTGGGAAAACAAAAAAAGACGTCATGCCTGCCACACTGGCTCCTCCCCCTCTGCACATCTGTAACTTGATTTCAATATTAGCATTGAACAGAGCCTCTCAGTTCTCTGCAGCTTCAACTGCTGGTCAAGCAGTAACCCACCTCCTCCCCACCACCACCTCATCAGTGGAGTATCATGTCGTGTCTTCGGCTCAGCTTCTTCGCCACCAGGTTCTAGGCCCCGGGGGGTCGCAAGCTCATCATTATCTAGTAAATTCCCCCCTGCATACGTCATGCAGTATTCCTGCTGGGGTCTAATCGCCAAAGCTTAACAAACTCTAATGCAAACTTTGTCTCGAGTCTTTCCAGATTGAATTGTATAATGGTAAATCTGGTATCGCCACATACTCAGTGTTTTAACAATTCTCTGCATGTAGACAGGTTCAGTCCGACACAATGTAAGAAAAGAGGAAATCTGCGGCACTCTTGACAGTAAAATGAAAATCCTTTGTTGAACCAGGGTCTAGCTACGTGTTTGGGTCTTCTTCAGGGCATATGCAGTCTTTACAATGTTGGGGTAAAGCCCAGGTTTTCCATGCATGTCATCAAGAAGGGGGAAGGGCAGTTGTCCCATCCCATTCAATTATGAGTCTGCTGAAGTGCTAACCGTTCTGCCACACTTACAAAATCTCTCCAAAGGAAAATTGGTTTCTGAAGCCTTCGTGATATGTTGCGTTTAGCACAAGTGGTGAGTAAGCCTGACTCCGACTCACGGTTCATTGTACCAGAGGGCTAGATTAGACGACCTCAAATCAATACCATGGTTAATTAATTAACACTTCATTAGCATTCATTTATTCTTTATGCAGTCACAGGGTTAGTGCTGGTTTGAGGCTAAAACTTGTGCATGTGTAGGAGTTAATGGTCAAGGGGGATGGTGTTGGTTTCATACAAACTATTTGTAATTTGATGTATTAAAGGTACACACTTTACCTTTAATACTTCAAATTACTATTATTATTACTTCTCGAGGAAGGTCTGCTACCTTCATGTCTCAAAAGATATATACATGTTATGTACATGTGTATATGTTTCTCACACACAATGAATTATACTTTGTGTGTCATGAAGTATAAATGCTTCAGGCAGGAATACCCAAATGTCCCTCTGAAATCCTCCCATTATCTGTGGCCAATATCATTATGCATCTCTAATCAGGACAGATAGTCATAACTGTGCAGGTTTGGGGTTGGATTGGGGAAAAGATGATGGTAGGAATAAATTGATATTTTTTGGACTCTAAAATGTCCAAATGTCACACTGTATGGTGTTTTCGTTTTTCTTTAGATAGTGAGATGTTGGTTGTTTTCACAAAATATTTTCAAAAACTAAAAACTAAAAAAATATAAATATATTACGATATAAACATTTGGTGTCACAGCTACAAATTATCCAAAGTTCTCATGTGAGTCTATATAAGGGCTTTATGTCCTTTTTTATGAGTCAAACTTAGATATTTTTTTGCATATTTGACCTTGAAGGGACCTAGTGGCTGTGTGAGTGTCTGCTTGGCACCTTTATTACTCTCAATAACAGTGGTCTCTAGGATGCTGTAGGGTCACTTGTTTGTAATATTTTCTCTGCTGACAACCCTCGCACCAGTTGACCAACAAAACAATTGACCACTGTAGACACAACAAAAGTTAAGGCACCATATTGGCCACTCTCACAGCCACTGGGACACCACTAGGTCAAATACGCAAAAAACAAGTTTTTCTTTTCAAACACAAAGTTGCATTATGTACCTTAAGCTATAGTTACAACTGTCGACTATCTTAAACAATAGACTTGATGTGTGCAATCTGAGTGCTCTTATTTCCTTCTTTCTCTGCTGTATCGTGCACAACGATGACATTGAAATTTCCCCACTGTGGGACGAATGAAAGAATATATTATCTTATCTTATCTTAACACTGTCTGGAGTTACTTCTGTCTAAAAGCTCCACATTTGTTTTGCAATGACGTCCTAATGACATCATGGACAAAAGTGTTATATTTGAGACACGTTTTGGCCGTACTTCAATTACATTACAATCTGTCAGATATAAAATTGTACAATTCTACATCTTATCAATCAATCAAGATTGTTTATTTTTACAGAAGAAAAATAACAGAATAACAAACAAATTTGAAAAGGGGTTGGATGAGGCAAATGCTTGATAAGATTCCAAACCCCAACAACATTAATTCATTTCCTATCCCTTTATTAGTCCATCTCTGGGTGACACTGAGAGCTGCACCCAATGCTCAAAGCACCAGTCAACCCCAACAACAAGACAATTTAAAAATACAAGGTCTTTAAAAACAACACAACAAAAGCGAAGCACTCGAACAGTAACACAACACAACACCATATGGTAAAACATCTGTGTATTTTCACTTCATTATTGCATTCTAAAACCTACAATGCAGAAGTGTAGATTCTCAAGATGATGTCCCTGATTCTCACATCATTGACCCTTCAAATAAGTAAAATGTTCTATAAATGTTCCCCTCTGGTCTTCTTACAGAGTCGTGAGGGCGTGTGGGAGAATGAGGAGTCCGCGGGGCAGGGGGCAGCAGCATGAGTGGCCCGTTCATCTCCGCCTCTAGACCCAGGGCGCTCATGTCTCTATGGGGGTGTGTGTGGCTGTTGGGCTGCTGCAGTGTGGTGGTCAGAGCCGCACCGGGGGACTCGCCTGGGACCACTAACTCGGGGACAAGCTTCAGCGGAGCCAATGGACCCCTGGGATGGCTCCTGTCCGACAAGGGCCCATTCCACCACTCACAGGAGTTTACCGATTTCACTGAGAGGTATCAGCAGGGATTCACCACCAAATACAAGATTTACAGGTAAGAGCGAAGGCCATTTTGCTGTTTGTGATGTTAAAATTCCATGTGTGACAAAAAGCAGTCTGGGTGAGATTGGTCTTGTGTTTCTAGGTTTTGGTATTGTGGATAGTTGAATCAATTAGTTATAATGATAGTGATTAATGGAATGGCTAAGAAGTAAAGCCTTTCGGGAAACTGAAAGCCAAACCAACGTCTTCACAGGTCATTCTTTACACACAGTGCAGTGGTGATAAAAGACTATTGCTGCCACATCTGACCTGGGGTAGTTTCTGAGATCTGATGAGAAGTGGCTTTGGCAAGGGGGCTTAACTGCAGAAAAAAAGTAATAATAAATACTCCATGCGATGCGGTTCACACATTTACATGGGTATTTGTTGTGCTGCATTTCTGAAGAGTGAGACATCTAATCATTGGTCTAAATAATAATGAAAATTCAATAATAGGTTGTATTCATACGACATCACAACATTCCAAAGAGCCAATAGTTTACCATTGTGGTCCATGGCAGCTGAAATTGTAACAGGAAGAGTGAGAGGAGCGCGCGCGCACATACAGGGGTAAAGCAATGACTCCGTCACACAAACTGCATAACACTGATATTTTTTCAGATTCTTTAAAAATTTTCCATGCGACCACCGCCATGTTCTTTGTTTCCTCTACTGAGGAGAGTGAGCGGACGCCCTCTACCAGTATCTCCTTGCATGCGCCTATCACCAAATGTAATTATTTTTGCATATGGCCGATGGTAGTTAAAGAAGGCAAACATCGGCCGACACCGATGTTAATTGGCAGTTACAATAAACAAAAAACATGCATGATGTTGGCCAGTAGGAAGGAGTTTCAGATGCTGGGTTAGTGAATCAAATAAGAAATAGTTTGTACATTGTTCAACGGTTCTTTCCCATGGCGTTGTGTTGGCACCTACCATAATTCTAGAACATAAACCAGTGGGGGCGGGTCCCGGCTCAAAAGTGGCCAAAATCACGGCCGCTGACATGCTTGCAATACCACCCCGGGCCGATGGGGGTGGACCCGGAATACAATTAGCCAATGCTAACATATAGCATTGGCAGACCTCTCGAAAACGTCTTTACAGGATGGTCCAAAAGTTGGCTCTTGGCCCAAAGCTCCGTTCCACATGTGTGTCAATGCTGAGGGGGATGATTTCTTTTGGACCACTCTAGTTTACTTGCTGTGAATTTTTGAAATCTCTTGTTCAAATGAACGGAGCTCTCGCCAGCTGACGCATGTGCAGATGCGTTTTTTCACAATTTTCTTGTGGGCGGGACCACTCGCGGCCATTTTGGATATCATTAGTTAGAACGGCGGAGATAGGCATGACTACGTCCATTAATTTTTACAGTCTATGACATAAACCTTTTGAACCTTTTGATACACAAGCTTCACAGTATGACTAAACAACACCAAAGCAAAACCAGGTCGAATCCAATTTCCTTGTTTACAGCTACACACGTTGACACCATTCTACATGGACCACCACACTTTACTAAATTGCGATTGAATTTCCCATCTCTGTCCTTGCATTTCTGTACAAAAACCTCTTTTTGCGCAGTGAGAGTCAGCTTTAGCAACCAGATTGTAAACTCCCAAACCCGCTGTATGGATCATTTGTCTTGTGAGTTGTGTGGTTTTATGGCATGACCACACGCTGGGTAGAGAATGAAAGAAAAGAGTTTTGCAAAGAGGAACGTGCATCACCTACAGTAAAAAGAGTCAAATGAGCTTTGAAGAGTTCTAATCAATGTAATGCCTAAGACCAATCTGCAAAACTTATATATATTCTGCAAAATATATTCATGCAAAACTGAATGTATTCTTTTAGTTTGTGTAGTTTTAGGTAAGCAAACAAAAATGTCTAAAATTGTCCCTTTTGTGTATTTAAGTCAGAGAAAAGCAGAACCAAAAAGGCATGAGCTATAGCTCAGAATCCACGGTGCCGTCCACGTTAACCAATCGAGTCATGCCAAGGGCTGTCAATCATCGCGCTGATGCTCGTAGCTCCGCGCATGCTCAGTTGTTTGTTTTCGTGGAGCCTCCGAATCAAGCCTCTATTAGGCTCTGGAACTACATGAAAACTGAACAAATAATTCTGAACATCTGCGCTGAGGTACTTATGTATAATACTGAACCTATATCCATAATCAGATCCTCTGTAGATGTGTCCTATAATATGCAATTAATGATAATAGCTTCTTCCGGGTTTGCCGCGATCGTTTTTTGGTGCATTAAAATATTATTTTTTTCATGAAAACTTTAACAAATAATTCTTAAAACCTCTGTGCATGTGTATTAATAATGTATAAGTATAATGTGTTCTCTGATTAACATTTAAATGTGTTACGGAAACGTAGGTGTAGACCAATCAGAAAGGAAGGGGGAGGGAGCTTGCGTCGTTTTTTTCAAATCAAGTACCTCTCTCTCTCTTTCTCTTTCTGATAAACTGCAGACAATCACTTTAAAGTTTTTAGACATGTAGTATTTTGCTGTATACATTGAAAGTGAGGGAATTGTGTGGTTTAAGTCTTGTTAGTGTAGCATGTGTCAGATGTATATTCTTACAAGAAATAGTGTGTTTTAAGGGCAATTTGAGCGACAAAACCTGGCGAAGGCACAGCTTTTATCTTTGGACAGGCTAGCTTTGAGAGATGGATAAAACTACATTTTCCAGACTCAAAAAAAAAAAATAAAGGGTTGGTAAACGGCCCACCTATGTAAATGTGTGGAATTGGAGACTCGTGATGAATGCAATTGTTTTTGATTAGACAAAATGAAGCAGGGTTTCTGAACAGTTTGGTATCTATGGGGGCGGTGGAGAATGGCAGCGTCTGTGAGAAAGCAGCGGGTAGTTTGAAAAAAACCTGACGCACCGACTGCTCTCCCGCTGTTCCCAAAGCCGCGATAAAGCAGCGGATATGCAGCTCTCAGCACGCGCTTCTGTATGGATCTGTATGGAAATATACTGTCCCAAAGATGCCTGCAGAGAAGTGATAACGACAGCAATATGCACTTCTAATTTCCTTAGCGAAGTGAATCAAGCAAATTTGATGTTTGCGATGCCATGATGCAGTTGAAAAAGAAAATAAAACATTAAAAGTTGTAGTTTGTTTCAGTAGTTTCCCCTTGCCACTTTTTAAGTAAAATATGAATATGGAGTCTGTCTTAAGGCCAGTTTCTACCAGCCCTACTCTACTCTGATCGGCTCTACTCAACCTGGTTGGGTTTACATTACATTATATGGGGAAACTCTAGCAGCTATCTGGCCAGTCACTGTCATTTGGATCATTTTAGCATCGGCTCGGGCTTGTTAGTACCAGGGCCAAACAGGTACTAAAAAGTACAATGTAATGGTCAAACAGGGTTTGTGGAGAAGAGTAGGGCTGAGTAGAGGAGAGAAGGACCAAGTAGGTCTGGTGGAAACACGTTTCAAGATTGTATTAATAGAAAACAGTATTTATTACATTGCATTCTGACAGGCTGTCAAGTTGAAAAGGTACAATTATTGTTACCAATCCAGTTCTTTTAATTTTCATGCAAATGTGTTAATTCTCAATTCAAGAATACATATCAAGAGGTGAGGCGAAGGGCCCTTTCTGGGTAGAGTTTCCATGTTCCACCTGTGCCTGCCTCCCGGTGCCCGGGTTTCCCTATAAAATCAGGCGTCTGTCAACATGATGAGTGGAGTGAATTAAAAAATACACCAAAATTGTAAAATGCTTCATCCATTGGCAAGTCACGGGGGCAGCAGTCTAAGCAGAGACGCCCAGACTTCCCTATCCACAGCGTGTTGCAGGTCTCTTCCCGGTGGGATGTGCCCGGAACACCTCCCCAGGGAGGGGTCCAGGAGGCATCCGTAACAGATGCCCGAGCCACCTCAACTGGTTCCTCTCAACGTGGAGAACCAGCGGCTCTACTCCGAGCTCTTCCTGTGTGACTGAGCTCCTCATCTTGTCTCTAAAAGAGCACCCAGCCACTCTGCAGGTCATTTTGACCTCTTGTATCCGCGGTCTCGTCCTTTTGTTCATTACCCAAATCTCATTCATTACCCCTCTCTCACCATAGGTGAGAGAAGGAACTAAGATTGATCGGTAAATCGAGAGCTTTGCCAATTTTTTGGGGACTAAATGAAACCCACAACAATATTTTAAATAAGAGCTGGTAAATTCTTAAGTTGCTAGAGGATCAGGCTTCTGCTTATTCAAAAGTGTTGTGTGCATCCATCTGCTTTTTGCCGGCTGCTCTGAAGAAACACTGTATCTGTGACTCAATATTTTGGGCAGAAAAGATGCTTACTGTATCTGACTTGATAGAAAATATGTTGCAATATCTTCTTTGCTTTGAGATCTATTTTGGTTTCCACCAAACAAACGCCATCACATCACAGCTGGGATCGCTGCTTCCAGAATGTGAAAGTCCTATTTACTTTATCTAAGACCAGGCTTTGAGTCATTCTCTGTAAGTTTGTATTTTTTGGATACAACTTCACCACTGCTCACTCTTTGAATGGACTGCACACAAACACATCTCCTGATTGACACCAAGGACTCTAAGGAGAAGGCTGACTTTACACATAGTACACAGACAGTAACTTTATTGAGACAATGGTTACTGTATATTCTCTTTGGGTCTTTAAAAGATGCGAATGTACCTAGTTTATTTGTTATGGCCAATGGAACAGCCATATCCGTAGTCTCAAACAGATCAAAATATTTCTCTGCCCCTTCACTAACAAGACACATCAAATAATGGAAAGAATATGTAATCATCATCAATGGTCATGAATAAATACAGAGAGGACAAAGGAGAAGCTTTGACTGGAGCTGCTCCCTCCTCTACTGCTTCCTCAAGGGGGACAGGTTGAGCGGGCCCGGGCATCTGTTTTTTGGATACCTCCTGCATTCTGGACATGTCCCATTGGCCCTGGAAAAGAACCAGGACATGCTGGGACAAAGAGCTGGCCTGAGCATGCCTTGCGACTGCCCCAGA